CTTACTCACTGCTGACAGAAATGCTATATGGTACAGTTGTTATGGAAATAGTGTGCTGGTTCCTCAAATCACAAAAATGAAACTCTATACCCAAAAGACTTGAAAGCAAATACTCAAATCAAGACCTGAGCAACAATAGCTAAAAGGTGGAAACAACCTAAATGCCTACTGACATTGAGTAGACAGACAAAACACGTTCCAAACAAACAATAGAACATTAGTCAGCTAGTGGGAGAAAGTTTTTACATATGTGCTATAATAAGGTTGGAGATGGAAGATCTTACGCTGCGTGAAATAAGCCTAACACAAATGGAGAAATATTGTATGAACTCATTTATATGAAAACAGAAAAGACCAATGTACAGAGAACAGTCTATTAGCAGTTGCCAGAGTCGGAAAGCAGGGGGAAGGGTGGTTAGTGTTAACAGCAATATCTCATGGTAGTCACTGAGGTCACACTGGACACCTATAAAAAGTTGAACTGGTAAAGGCTACGTGACACAGCATTTACACAGATGAAAGACAAAGTGTAGCTGTTGAGCCTGCTTCCTAAGATTTGGTTTCTTATTTTGGAAGTTTGGAGCCATCCTACTTAATTGGCCTGAAAACATATTTAGTGCCTCTGTTCTAGCTATGTAGGATCCCTAGTAGCGTAGTGGTTAGAGACAGATGGAGCTGGGATCAGCAAGGTCAACACTTTGAAACCACCAGCCGCACCACGGGAGAAAGGAGCTTTCTACTCCCATAAAGAGTTATAGTCTCACAAGAGGCAGTTCTACCCTGCCCTGTAGGGTGGCTATAAGTCAGCATCCATCTATGGGCAGTGAGAGTTCTACTTCCTAGTTCTATGCGCAGTGTATGGGATCTTAAAAGCTTGCAAACAGCCATCTAAGGCAGAACAATGGATCTTTATTCACCTGAAGAAGCAGAGGACAGAAAGAGTAAACAGAATGCTGCTAATTTCCTCTATAAACAACTGCCCTTTTTGCCCTGAGGCCTGAAGAACTAGATGGTGGTTAGCTACTATAACTGAACATTTTAAGCAAATATTCCACAGAAGTATCCTGATTAAACAGAGAGAAAGACAAGAGCCCAAATTCTCATGGGCTCAAGACTGCTTAGGACCATAAAGGTTGGATGAATCCTTGAAAATAATACCCATGTGGTAGTTACATGATTCAATGTCAACTAGACACTCCTGGGTGGAGTCAGACCTGTCAATCAGGTCACAGCCTGATGCTGTCTCCTTGAAGGCATGGCTTTGTGATAAGAAACTTCCTTTTCTCTCCTCCTTCTTCCTTTCTCTCTGCTACTGGCCCTCTGAGCTGCCAGAGCTCTGCATTGTTTCCACCCACCTTGGAACCACATGATTGTGCACCCCCTACCTGTAATCGTCCACATTCTGCATCCTTGTGTGTGGCTGCATGAGTCTGCAGAGGGACTTATGGACTAGTATCAGACTTAAGGACTTCAGTCGTAATGAGCTGGGATGTTTTCATGATATATAATTATTTCTTGACAGCCAGTTATTTCTTGTACATACACAAGTCTCACAGGATTTGTTTCCCTAGTCAACCGGCCTAATGCACCCTGACATCATTTTTAAAAACTTAAAACCAAAAATATTCTTAGGTAGGTTAGCAAAGGGCTGGGAATGTCCCTTAATGCGTGCCCAAAGGGCCAAGCTGGGGGAACAAAGGAGTGGCACACTGCACATGCCCAGAGGCTTGGATTCCCACCAGTAGGCAGGGGTGGGCGTGAACCTGAATTGGCCCACCTAGGCCAGGTGAATTCAATTCAGCCAATGGGGTCGACCAGGGGTCTTCCACCACGCCTCCCCGTGGAATCCTTGAAAAGGCAGAAGCCCGAGTCCCAGGACGGAGAGAACTTTGGCACAGAGGGCTTTGGCAGGACTTTGGGACATTTTTGCGTGATGCCGAGCAGCTTCCAACCAGGCCGCATGTTCAGGAGGAGCCCCACAGGTGCCATGTAAACCTGAAATTTCTTCTAACTCTCATAAAACTCACTTCGATCACGAATCAGGCTTCGGCGTGAATTCTTTCTCACGCGGAGCCAAGGACCGAGGTATAGATCTAGCTCCAGAGAGATCTCACAATATCTCCTGAGGTTTTCTTTAAACCGAACAATACTTTAAGCCTTGGAGGACTGGGGCCTAGTACAAAGAATAAAGTTTTCATGAAAGCAAAAACATGCAACAACAAAAAGCCCAATACTAAAGTAAAAAACGTCTGCCTTGAGCATTACGCTCTATGAAGAACTATCAACATGAGATAAAATTGGCATCAATAACTTAAAAGATCAGATAGGATCTATTACTGAGGGGGAAAAAAACCTTACTTAAGGGTGACCAAAATTAGGCCCCCATCATGAATCTAGGGTTTGCCCTTCCTGTCACATGTATACCCCTACTCCCTTCCCTTCCTATCATGTGTTCACCCCTAGCTCATCCCCTTCCTGTCACGCCTATGCCCACTGAATATCCCCCTCCTATTGTTTGTATTGCGTATTGTACAGCCCCTTCCCGTGACGTGTGTGGTTACCTATAATCACGCCCCCTAAGGAGATAAAAGCCTTGGTGAGCAATAAACCAGGTCCCCCACCTCGCCTAGCTCCCCAACCCTCGTCAACTCGTGCTGTGCGCGGACCTGGCTGTTGAGATCATGGCCATCCAGGAGGTGAGCATGCTACCATGAAATGTGACTGACTTCTTTATGTTACTCTCGCTCCTATCTCTCATATTCTCTATGACTTTATTATAATCTTTATATATATCTCAACCATACAATTGCACTTACTGAACTCGTGATTAGTTCTGGGGGGCTGGCCTTTCCCCCACAGAAAAATAAACCAAGTGTCAAATAGCATTAAATGTCCAAATGATAAGAGTGCTAAATTTTAACCTCACTGCATCTGCAACAATCCACTTTCCAGTGCATTCTGCATGTTAGCAAGTCTGTTCACATCCTGGTCCATGGGCTGAGGGGATTCACCAGGGGCTTAATCCATGTATTTCCCCTTCATTTTTTTTTATATTGAAACACCTTTAAAATAAATCTAAAATTATATTTGACCTGACTACATCTGCCAGTCAACTTCAGAATGCTCTCTGTCCAGAAACAGGGCTGTTCAACACCCTCCACTACGGTCAGAGGCATTCACCAGAGGCTAAGTCTATGTGTGGACCCCGTAAACGGATTGTGATCTTCCAGTCATCCAGAACCCTCTGCAAACCAGCTGTTCACAATTTAAACTCTGGTATCATCCCTTCCTTTGGTTTTGGATTATATTATTTACAATCCTTAGTTCACACAGACTAGTGTGTTCTTCCATGTCTTAGATGATGCCTCACTTAAAGACAGCTGCTTGTTTAAAAACAAGCTTTTAACACCCAGATCCTATTCTTTCAGAAAGCCAGGCACCATCTAGTTTCTATGGCTTATAAATGTCTCTGGATCACCTTAGAGCAATGGTTCTCAACCTTCCTAATGCCACAACCCTTTAATGCACTTCCTCATGTTGTGGTGACCACCAAACATAACATTATTTTCCTTGCTACTTCATAACTGTCATTTTGCGCTACTGTTATGAATCATAATGTATATATCTGATATGCAGGATGTATTTTCTTTTTTTTTAATATATCATTTATTAGGAGCTCATACAACTCATCACAATCCATACATACATCAATTGTGTAAAGCACATTTGTACATTCATTGCCCCCATTATACTCAGAACATTTGCTCTCCACCTAAACCCCTGGCATCAGCTCCTCATTTTTTCTCCTCCCTCCCCACTCCCCCCTCTCATGAACCCTTGATAATTTATAAATTATTATTTTGTCATATCTTGCCCTGCCCGACTTCTCCCTTCACCCACTTTTCTGTTGTCCATCCCCAGAGTGGAGGTTATATGTAGATCCTTGTAATTGGTTCCCCCTTTCCAACCCACCCTCCCCCCTACCCTCCCAGTATCGCCACTCACACCACTGGTACGTAGGATGTATTTTCATTGTTACAAATTGGACATAATTAAAGCATAGTGATTAATCACAAAAACAATATGTAATTATATATTGTGAAATACTTATTTCCAATAACAAATAAATGAAATTTGATCTTGAAGCATGGTGTAGATTAGTAAGTCTTCATGCCAGGTACTCGTATGTGGGCATATCTGCATGTGAGCAGACCTGCCTGGAGCCGGATAGGAGTGGTGTCTTGGTTCCTAAGACCATCGGAAATATGTTTTCCGATGGTCTTAGGTGTCCCGTGTGAAAAGGTTGTTCGAGCCCCACAGGGGTTGCAACCCAGCAGCTGAGAACCGCTACCTTAGAGACATCATTGTCATTTTATGTCAGAGAACATTATTAGTCAGCCCCCTGAGCCATCACTTGCACTGCCATCAAGCCATTGCTGACAGAGAGCGACCCTATAGGGCAGGGTAGACCGCCCCCTGTGAGTCTTCAAGCCGTAAACTTCACAGGAGTAGAAAGTCTCATCATTCCCCTGTGGAGCCGGCTGGTGGTTTCAAACTGCTGACCATAAGGTTAGTAGCCCAAAGCGTAAGCACTACTCATTGATAGTATCATTAGTTTCGCCAATGGTATAGAAAAAATAAAGGTTACTTACAGAGAGAACTGCATCTGAGGGAAATCAGTTGAAGGATCCTTATGCATAAAATCTCCAGCCCATTTAGAAAAGGAAGGAAGATACTCCTCTATTTCATGTTTTACATCATCTTGATTTAAATTTAAGCGGTACCTGCCAAAGAGATACTAAAGATACATAAAACATATCTAAACAATAGTACCAAGACATCAAATTTCAGATTTGCTCCAATTCTACATTTCAGCTAAATAAAGGGGTTATACTTACATCTTTAAGAGATGTTGCTACTGAAACCAAGTAACAAAAATATACAAATACAAAACTAGAAAAAGACCAGATAGAAAGGTAAGATCAGTCTTACCATAAAATCTAACAGGAATAAAATTAAAAAAACAATATAGAAGTTTCTGACCGATTCTTTCAAAAATTTCTGTCAGAAATCAGCAGCAACTAACAGAATCTACTCTCAGTTTTTCGGGTTGCCCAGAAAGTCAAAACTAATGCATTAAAACCCAAAACTCAAAATAATAATAATTTATAAATTTTCAAGGGTCCATGAAGGAAGTGGGAGCGGGGAGGGAGGGGAAAAATGACAAGCTAATACCAAGGACTCAAGTATAAAGCAAATGTTTTGAGAATGATGATGGCAGCAAATGTACAAATGTTCTTGACACGATGGATGGATGGATGGATTGTGATAAGAGTTATATGAGCCCCCAATAAAATGATTTTTTAAAAATAATAAAAATACAAAACCCCCAACACTCCTACTGTCCTAAGGCAATACTACTTAATATTTAATTATTTCAGTCTCATTCTCTCATGGGTTTTTACTGGGGCTTCCTAAAACTACAGCACATACGATATTAACAATATATTAACTGCAGATACAGATGTAAGACTTTAGTCAGTCTTTTCTTTTTTTTAAGTCAGACCTTTGAAAAAAATTACAAAAATGTTTATCAAGGCCATCCATATCTCACTAATTTTCAAATTTGTTACATTTCATAAAATATTATATATGCTAACATGTAAATCAATTACAATGATTTTTAAATGAATGAACAAGCATGCTAATAATCCATACAAGGAAAAGCTCTTCAGGGTACTCAATTTCTTAAGATAAAAACATTCTTAGAACTAATGCTCTGAACTTACTCTCTACATTGTTTTCTCCTAGCTCTTTCCCTATGACTGAGCCGCTCCATCTTAATCACCACTCCCGGGTGTTAGGAACAAAACACACCAGGTAGCATGTCGGATGGCACAGATGTTTCAGTCTTAACTCTACTCTTACAAGATGTGCAACTTTGGGGAACACAATATTAATTACAATTAAGGGTCCTCAACTGTAAGATGAAGATAATAAATAAATCAGAAAGTTAAAGAATTAGGTAATATGTATAAAATATGTGGTTGATGGATGAAAACCCAATGCAGTGTAATGATCATAATCGTAATCACTTGTACAGTGCTCACTATAGGCCAAGTGAATTTTTGGGCAGTGCAAATTTTTAACACAGCTGCTAACCAAAGGGTTACAGGTTCCAGTTTACCTAAGGGTACCTCAAAAAAGGTCAAGTGATCTAATTCCAAAAATCCAGCTCCTAAAGCCCAAAGGAGCACAGTTCTATTCTGACACATGGGGGCTACACGTCAGAATCGGCTCAACAGCCAATGTCTTTGTTTCTCTACTGGGCCATACACTTGTCTACGTACTTCATATGAACTAACGTTTTCAGTCCTCCTTACAGCTCTATCAAATAGCCGCTACAACTGTCATCCTGGTCTTCACCCAAACCAAACTCACTGCCATCAAATCAAGTCTGACTCCTAGCATCCCGATTTTACAGCTGAGGAAATGAAGGCACAGAGGTACGCCCAAGGCACACACACCTCTGGCTAAGGTGCGACTAGAAATCTGAATTGCAGAGTGGGACATGAGCTAAATGGACCCTAAATAAGAAAGCAAAAGCTTTATCAAATATAGTCAAACACGGAACCCCTAGTGGTGCAGCCACAGGCAAGACACAACTTATATGCTTTGGTTTCTTCACTTATCAGACTAAAGGTGGCTGACAGTTTGACTAGAATATCTAAAAGCACTCAAAACAGTGTCTGGCATATGGCTGGTTTCAAAAATTACTTTTATTTGTGTCACTTTTAAATCAGTTCTGTGGAAAACTGGAATAAATATTGCCTGTAAAAATAATGTTGCACAGAATTATTTTACAGTTGTCAACTGGTCTGGAAATCAAAATTATTACTAATATGTGATGCAAGATGGGAGCCACCATAGGCTCCAACAGCTTATAAAACCATTTATACAGTCTTAAAATATAAAGTAGCCCTAAATAACCAGAAGCACCCTGCTTTATAAGATCTGTAACAAAGAATGACATTTATATATCATCAATCACCACAAAGAAAAATCCACAATATAGATATTATTCTTTTTCAGAGACTCTAAATAAGTTGTTAGTCACAAAGTTAGAATTGAAAGTAGGTTAATTTGACCTCTAATTCTACACTTTTCATGTCATTTCTTTTCTAGAACTAATGTGGACAATATTTCATTCCTCTCTAACAGCAGATATGGAGTCAGTTTTGCACAAGCATGAAATGTTTAGACATTTTAACCTAAAGTTTTCTGCTATGCAATTTTAGAAATGCTTCACTTACAACACACTACTGCAACCTTGGAATCTACATTGTAGCAATAATGTATATTAAATAATCTACTGACCAAATAGGGAGATCTGGTGGAACAGGCATTAAGGGCTCAGTTGCCAACCGAAGGTCAAAGATTCCAACTCATTAGCTGCTCCCAGAAAGATTTATAATCCTGGACATCATGTGTGAACGTTCTAACCTGTCTTATATTCACTGACATGGAATCAACTTGATAGCAACAACCTAATAGTGAAAACCACACAGGTTCCAGAAAAATAAGCTATATAACAAAACCATACATGTAATTCTTCTCCTACTACTTACATTTCCTTCAGGTGCCTTATTTCTTGAGTAGTTTTGAAAGCAAGCGCGTGTAGTTTTTCTGGGGCAAAGCTATCATTTACTGCTTTTTGAAATACTTCATGTAGAATCGTACCAGTGAGCATTTGGTGTGTGGCAGGATCTGACTTCTACAAATTAAAAAAAAAAGTCATACAAACCAAAGTGCAGCAATTAGATAGATGCCAAAATAGTAAATAATATTTATTTCAAGTAAAAGTTTCTATAGGTAACCTCCACTTTCTTCTACTCTGAATTACTTGAATTATTTTACAAATAAGTTATTTTAAGACAATGTATCCCTTCTTAATAAAAAAAAAATCAAGATAGAATATTCCAATATATTCTAACAACTGTTCTTCTACTCAAAAGAAAGTCAATCAAGATAGACCACATGAACTCACACAAGAGTTTATTCAAAATAAAATTTAAACTCACAGCAAAGTTTTCTTGCTAATGTAATGGTACTTTATTTTCCAAGTAATTCTTTATCAATAGAAAACTTTCCTTGAAGCTATTAAAAAAAAAATCACCCAACTCCACAAAACCCTCCATCAGGAATTCAAAAATAAATTCAGTGGACTACTCAGTACTATCTTTCCAAGATGCATGTATACCCGAAATTATTTCAAAATAAAGACTGTAAAATTATTCAGAATTAAAATCACTGACTTATACATCTTAAATGGTTAAAATGGCAATCTTTTTGTTACTTATATTTTATCATAATAAAAAAATTAATATTCAAGTCTGCTTTCAAACTTCTAAAACAGAAGTTGATTTCCCCCCTACAATTCAAGAATACATAAAATCTAAACTATAAATAAATGACAAATAAAATAATTAGAAATTTTATTTTGGTATAATTTTTTTCCCTTCTTTTTATGATCCTTGCTCAGCTATATTTTCAGTTTTCTATATATGCACAGATTGTTATTGTATAATAATTTTTCTAAAATTGGGGGGAATTACCATTTAACAAATAAGCCAGTTTCTTCAACAAATAAATGGCCTTGAAACAAAGGTGCTAAGTGGAAGGTAGAACCAACATTCATTAAAAGGAACTCATGAGACATCAGTCAAATGTAACAGAGGAGCTTGTTTGCTGATTGAAACAAAACCACTGAATATAAAAGATGCATCTGAGAAAAGATTCTAAAGGGAGACTGGGCGGTGTGAGTGGTGATACAGGGAGGGTAGAGGGAGAGTGGGTAGGAAAGAGGGAACCGATTACAAGGAACTATATGTGACCTCCTCCCTGGGGGATGGACAACCGAAAGGTGGGTGAAGGGAGACATCGGACAGGGCAAGATATGACAAAATAACAATTTATAAATTATCAAGGGCTCATGAGGGAGGGGAGAGCAGGGAGGGAGGGGAAAAATGAGGACCTGATGCCGGGGGCTTAAGTGGAGAGGAAATGTTTGGAGAATGATGAGGGCAATGAATGTACAAATGCACTTTACACAATGATGTGTATGTGGATTGTGATAAGAGTTGTATGAGCCCCTAATAAAATTATTTAAAAAAAAAAAAAAAGGGGGAGACTGGGCATTAGATTAATTATAAAGAATAATTGTTAGCCTTGTTGGGTATGACAAAGATATTGCTTATTGTTCTTAAAGGGTCCTCGGCTATTTAAACCTACCTTAAGAGAGCCCTCAACTGTCATTTGCTTGTGTATCTCAGAAGGTCTGAAACCAGCACAATGCTGGTTACTGAAGCTAGATGTTGGGTACATGAAGGGTCATTACAATAAGTTCTCTGTAGGTCTTTGAACCTTTGTTTGAAATGCTTCACTTATTTTTAAAAGAGACTTTTACATGTATTTTTTGCTTAGTGGGAATTATGTGAAGCCAAATTAAGAATGGTCTAAATGTATATAACATTTTTAAATTTCATCACTTAATTTTCATATTAGAATTATTTTATTAAGTTCAACAGGAATGAAAGAACTTAGGCGCTGTGTCCCAGCACTACCACTTACTACCTATGTGGCTTTGGGCAAGTCACTTACCCGCTCTAAGCCTGATTTTCTTCATCTGTAAAATGCAGTTGCTTAATCCAGTCTATCTCCCAATCATATCCCAGGATTGTTAAGTAGATGTAATGAAATAATCTAACAGTGTTCTGTACAGTAAGATCCTACATAAACATTAGCCATATAATTTACCCTGAACGTTTCACCCAAAACAGCTCTTCTCATACATCGAATACTACTGGCTACACTTGTGCCAGAAATCAGCAAGTCTGGATATAAAATCAAGTATCCCGAATCTTTATCAATTATCCAAGTATGAGATTTATAGTCTCCTTCCAAATGAATGATGTCTCCTGGCTCTACTGGAGCAGAGCACCTGAAAATAAAACGGAGTGACAGAATAAATGTATAATTTAAGTTCCTACATTTAAACATCGTCATGAAGTTTTTTAAGTATTTCTAAATTTCTGGGTTATTTTAAAAAATAAAATGCCAAAATGCAGTCTTCTGAATTGATTTCTAGTCAGTCAACCATTTTCTACCTTTGAACTACATCTGAGAATGCCCGTGGGGTTTCTTTACATATCAACAACAAAAACTGCTCAGTGCTGTCAATGTCCATTGCAAAAGCTGTCACCACGTTAATAGCAAAATAGATAGCTCCAATTATACAGTAGGTAGCCTTAATAATTAACTTTCTCTTTCTTAAGACTTAGAACTTTTTTTTAAACCATTTTATTAGGGGCTCATACAACTCTTATCACAATCCATACATACATCAATTGTGTAAAGCACATTTGTACATTCATTGCCCTCATCATTCTCAAAACATTTGCTCTCCACTTAAGCCTCTGGCATCAGCTCATTTTCCCCCTCCCTCCCATTCCCCACAACTTAGAACATATCTTGAGGCATCAAGCCAAACCAAATGTAACCAAAATAAAATGGCAGATATCTAATTCAAGCCATCCATCCAACTTGCAGCCTAGACTCATTTCTCTGCATCTCCCTACATCCCTCACATTTGGTTTAAGATAAAACACCTAGAGTGTAAGTTTTTGTTTTGTTTTTTCAAAGCAGTAATTAAATTTGCATAATGCAAACTAACCTAAATTTTAAGCAGTCATCTTAGAATATAGTGGGAAATAGCCATTAATAAGCTCCTAAGTACATAACTCAGAAGCCCTGGTAGCATGGTAGTTATGCATGGGGCTGTGATCCTGAAGGTCAGTAGTTCAAAACCAGTTCAAGTTCCTTGGGGAAAAGACAGCATTTCTACCCTAACCTATAGGGCCAATCTGAGTCAGTATTGACTGGATGGCAGTGAGTTTGGTTTTGGATGTACTTGACTTACAAATAACAATAAAAATCAAACGGTTTTGAAATAAAAGGCTTGAGATGGGATAATACATACAATCTTCATGTAAATCAATTCAGAGTCCCTTATTAACAAGTAAATCACTGAAATGTGATGGATTTTAAGATGGTACCCTTAAGACTGTTAAATCAAAGGTCCTGGATAAAACACAGAAAAAGGTGGGGAAAAGCCCAAAATCATAAAAGAGACCAGGGCATACTGGTCAGACAATCTGATGGAACCTCCAAGACTATGCCCCGCCCTCCCCTCTTTTTAAGACTATGGTCATTGGTCACCTTCCAGGTCTGGAACTGAACTCACCCCTGTGTTAAAATAATCAATCATTTAAGATCAAAAGGGCAGCACTTAGAGAAGCACCTCAGCTTCCCATCTTCCTTGAGCATTCATTCTAACCCCTTTCCTCTCCAGGAGACCTTGCTGCTTAGCTGGTCTGCACTCCAAGGAAACCATGTTGCAGCCATGTGGCAATCATGTGGGAACTGTGTGGCAACCATGTGTGATCCAAAGGCTAACAGGTCAACAAAAGAGACACAACAGGACTGGAGTGCAGTGCTGAAGAAATACAACACTGCCGTCCACATCAAGGAGTTTGACAAGGACAACCCTCCTTGACAGTGCATTGCGGCCTGAGCCTTGGGTAGTTTCTGTGACACAGGACATTAAGCACCTCATCGACCATTTCTCTGTTCAAATCTGGTTGAAGCATAGATTGTGCTCACACACCCAGCAATCCATCCAAAACCAGGTTTTCAGTTAAATTCCAAATATCAGAGACTGGATTCTTCAGCCTTGCTAAGGGCACACCTCCTCTCTGCACTCCTTTGTTGTGGTTCTAAACAATTACCAAAGCAGGAAAAAACGGAGGGGAGAGGGGCAGAATTTATCCAAGGACAAAGTACAGAGGGTTAAGAAATATACAGGAACTGATCAATTAAAACTGATGTTCTGTAAACCTTCACCAAATTCACGATAAAAAAAATTTTTTTTAAAAAGACTGCTGTATTAGTGATCAAAGTCACACAAAAATTACCAATCATTCCGAAGGATGCACAATTCTTTATGTTCCAGCGACTTGGAGGCAGTGATGCTTAGATGTTTTTCATGGCTTCTCTCTTCATTCTGTACAATACTGACAGCTAAAACCAGGTACCGGTTATCAACTCCTTGGTTCAGAATAGTTTTAGGAAAGGAAGCTTCCGCTTTCTCCTGAGAACTAAAACATACATGTAGAAAACCGTTTTAGCACAATCTCAAAATACAAAGCCACTCTACCATAACTGAGCATTTTGATCAAGGACTCAATGGGCCTTGATGAAAATGGGAAAAACTGTGAAACAGAATTACAAACTCCGTTGAAATCCAGACTTCCTGGCCCCTTTGGAAGTCCCTGAGCCTATTACCCCTAGATAATCTTTAAAACTTGAAGCAAAATTATCCTCTGAAGTCATCTTTAAAACAAACAATAACCCAGAACAAAAAATCACAGCAATGTGAATGAGGGGGAGTGCAGAATGGAGACCCTAAGCCCATATGTAGACAATTGGGCATCCCTTTATAGAAAGGTCACAAGAAAGAGACAAGCCAGTCAGGGTGCAGTATAGCACTGATAAAACATACAACTTTCTTCTAGTTCTTTAAATGCGCCCCCCACCCTCCCCCACTATCAGAAACTCCAATTCTACCTTACAAATCCAGCTAGACTAGAACATGTACACTGGTACAGATAAGAGCTGGAAACACAGGGAGTTCAGGACAGATAAACCCCTCAGGACCAATGAGAGTAGTGATACCAGAGGGTAAGAGAAAGGTGGTTGTGAGTGGAGGTGGGGGTGGTGGGAATGTTGGAACCAATCACAAAACAGCCTATCACATTAAAAGTACTTTCCATTCACTTAATACACTTGTCAAGTGTGCAATTCCATTCTTGGAAACATTTTTCAAACTCATCTGTTTGGATGGCTGATGGCACCTCCCTTGTTTTTTTACCACCTCCTCTACTAGTCCTGTCTGCCACAAATCAGGCCTTTTTTGTCACACACTGCTATGCAATCTTTTCAGAATCTCCAAACAGAAAGCTTGATTAACAGTCTGACCTGGGGAACAAACTCAAAATGTGAACTCCAAATGCAAGCTTCGGGAAGTTGATGGCTGTCCAGAACAAGGTTTGTCATAAATCAACATTTCAACCATTTTTGAAATGAGAAAATCACTCCTGCAACTTGAGGTTTTAGCCATAGTGCTATCCTTGCAAGCTGTGTTCAACATCACAACAGTTTCTGAGTAGCCTCCCCCTCCCACACCACCCACCATCCACCCCCGCCAAAAAGCAGGGAACAAGTTACATAGCCACATTCTAAAACAAGGTTCCAGTGAAACTGCTTTTACAAAAAAAAATTCACTGTGACCAGAGAACCTTCCCAGGCAATGCCACTGGGTGCACTAACTCCGGGAGTGTCTAGATGCTCTGCTCTGCCCAGTGCAATTCCGGATTGGCAGGACTACCCCCTCATAGGGCTATTATAAGTCAGAATCTATTCAATGGTAGTGTATTTAGTTTTTGAGTTTTAGTCATATTGATTTCTTTTCAAGTCACAATCTCTCCATTTAAAACACAAAATGCCTTTCACTCTTCCTTTAAATGTCTTTGTCATCCAACCCTTGGTTCTATTCTTGTATAACCTGCTCACACACCTATCCGATCAATATAGCCTCAAGTTATAAAATGCTGTACACTCATAGAGGCCCTACAAGACAGCACTACCCATGCAGGTTTCTGACAGAGACTCTTTAAGGGAGTAGAAAGGCTCATCTTCCTCACAGAGCAGAGTGGTTTTGAACTGCTAACCTTGCAGTTCGTAGCCCTACTCAAAACTTATTGCTATTCAGAACCCAAAATGAAAATGTCCCTTAGCAATGACTAGCATTGTCATTATTATTAAGCATCATTGGGAATGAGATGTCCCACTATTCACAAGCTGCTTGCAACGGTTTTCGCCAACAAAACACTACACGAACAAGCATCTGTTACGTTATTAGGTGCTGTCAAGTGAGTTCCGACTCATAGTGACCTTATGTACGACAGAAGAAAGCATTGCCTGGCCCACCCATCCGCATCTTCACAACTGTTTCCTGGGTGCCCACTGTAGCAGTCACTATGTCAATCCAGAGGGTCTTCCTCTTTCACGGGTCCTCTACTACGGGGTGGCTTTAACTCCTTATAACGAACACCGTTTACACCTGGGGCGGGGGAGAGCCGGAGGGAGGTGGTGAGGGCGGGGGCATCCGTTACCATGGAGTCGACTTCGACTCCCGGCGACCGTGCACACTCAAGGGACCACGAATCCTGGAAATCAAGGGAAAGAATGGGCCGCTGGGACCGAGAGCCTTGAGGCAGGGTCCCAATATGGCCGGAAAGAAAACCCTGCGAAGAGAACCCCCTCTCCAGAGGCTCGTCGGGGGCCGGGGGACCCAGGACAACCGCCGGCCCGCCCGCGACGCAGGCCCCTGCCGCTCCTTTCCCTTT